TGTATTCTGTCAAAAACAGTACTGGTGTACTCTGTACACTCTGTAAACCTTCACCCAATTCATAATAAAAAGCTTAAAATAAAATATAATAGTTGCTTTCTGTTCTAAAGTAGTTTAGTGCGTTACATGCTGGGTTTCTAACTTTAAGGTTAGCAGTTTAAAACCACCAGCTATCGATGAGGCTTTCTGCTTCCATAAAGAGTTATATTCTGGGAAACCCCCAGGGGCAGTTGTGTCCTATTGGGAAGCTACAACTCAGAATCAACTCAATTTGGACTTCAGAATCAACTCAATGGCAGTGAGCTCTGTTATCAATTTGGATTTCGAATAGAGGCAACAAATATTCCCCAGTAAAAAGTCTCACCGCAGCATTGAAATTTGTTCTTGCTGTAGCTCTCCAGTTGGAGATTGTTCAGTTTTTGTTTATTTGTTTTAATCTGACTTGGCATTTCAACTTGAGAACTGCCCTACTGCAGAAGTCCCTAATTCCGGTTGGGCATTCATGAATATGTATAATTATTTCTTTGAGAGCAAAGTTGTAAATTCTAGAGAAAATAAAAACAAAACCTTTAAAATAATAAGAGATCATGTTTCATTTAAGCTGAATGTTGAAATTAATACATAGATTTCATCAAGTACTATTAGTTTCAGAAAAGAGGCTTCTTGGCCTCCTCTCTGCCACATACAACCTTGCTTCCAGTTTCGATACAGGCAGTCTACTCTTCAAAAAGAAATGGAGACACCGAGGAATCCAAGTGTTTTTTATGAACCCCACTGGGAGGATGGTAGGATAGGATTGTCAGGATGATTATATCCAAGGGTAAAACAGAAACTATTATAGTCTGCCCACCTTTAGGTTAAATTCGATAGTTTTTAGCTAATAAAACTGAATCTTATCAGTCTCTGATAGCAAGAACCACTCCTTGTGCACGTGTGTATGTACGTGAAACCTAGTACTGCTCTAGAATTTGATCTTACAATAGAACTTTCTGTGACGATGGAAATGTTCTCTACAATGGAAGCCACTAAACACTTGAAATGAGGAACTCAATTTTCAATCTTCTGCATTTTTAATTTAAATAGGCACACATGGTTAGTGGCTACCGTATTATACACTGTAGCTCTAAAATTAAGGTTCCCAAACTTAAGCTAATGGAATCACCATTTTTGATCTTTTACGGATTCTTATTTCACGAGTCTTGATGTCACCATTACCATTGTAAAAAGATTCCATGGTTGATTGTGTGTGTGTGTTTGTGTGTGTGTGTACCAAGAACTTAGAGTTTGAGAACCATTGTGTTAGAACTTTGCTACTTAAAACTGTCTCCATCCCCTGGGGGGCAGACTGCAGAATCTGAGACCCCACCCTGCACTATTAAAATCAGAATCTGCATTTTTACAAGTTCCCCAGATGATTTATTTGCACATTAAAATTTGAGGAGCCTTGCTCTTGAGTCCTATTGTCAACTTTGGCTGCACATTAGAATCATGTGAGGAGCTTTTTAAGAAGAAAATGACATATGTATCAGTATTTCTATAAAGCTTCTTATTGATTCTAATGTGGGGTCAAGGCTAGAAGGTACAAACACCAATAATGACTGCTCAGATTGCCTCTGGTCATGATGAGCAGAGAAAGAAAGTGGGGCTAGGCTCTCAGTCTCAGGAGAGACATGGGGAACCTACCGTCTTAGGAGAATGCTGTCAGCACCAGAAGGAAAGGGCCTTTAAGACAATAACGATTTAGAGAGTAATTCTCAAGATTTACTTGGTTCTCATCCAAAGTAGATTACCTTAACATCTATTCTCTGCAGCATCCTTTCTCCAGATCTCTAAAATCAACCTTCATTGTTGCTCTCTTTTCCTCTTGCTATCCATCTCCCAGGCCAACCCAAG